AGAGAGGCATGGTGAAAATCCCCCATGATCAGATCCTCCTCCATTGTAACTGGCTTGGCAAGGTCTCCTTTTTGCTGCCGTAGTCTCACCCCTGGCAGAGGGTTACAGTTTCCTCTGGCTGCAAAGGTGCGAGCAGGACCTCTGCAGCATTCGCTGCCTGGTGGGACAGAAGGGGCTTCTTCCCCAGAAAAGCCCACACAGTGTCCTGGCACTTGTGGCAATGTCATCTGCAGCTGCCAGAGATTTTACACTGTTACATCTCAAATGAGGCTTGAAATTTCTGGCAGGGCCAGGACGAAGGAAGTGGCTTTACCATGCAGCCATGCATCTGCTGATGGGCCCTGGGTGGGCTGGGCAGCTAAGGGGAGGTGACAGATTTAGGTATTGGCATCAAATGTTACCTCTGGTACATTTTAAAATAATGGGCTATGCTGCACCTCCTGAAAACAATGTTTTGGAGAGTATAGAGGCATCTCACACAGCATGAACTCCCTGATAGGATCATAAGGGCAACTCCATTGGCAAAGTCAAGCCCACATCAGCCCACATACCTGATGCCTTAAAAACACCTGACTTCAGGCTCAGGTGAAATCCTCATCTGTAAAGTCAAGGGCTCAGGTAGATGATCTCTCTGTGGTCCTTTCCAGTTCTGAGAATTTGGGACTATAAACAGAACGGACTTCTCCTCACTAGGGTATTTCCTGGTCATTGGGTTCTAACAAGATCTTACGTTGAAAACAGTCAGCAGATGCTTAAGCTGTCCCAGAGTGGGTATCTTGGTACCCAGACCCTGATCTCACTGGAATGAAGGGTGAGGTTGGATCCATTGGGGCACATCTGGTCTCCATGGCATGAGGATGGAATGATGGCGAAGCACTGTGACCTCTCTCAGCTGAATTTCCTGCAGTTACAGTTGAGTTTGAGTCCAATCAGGAGAGGCTCAAGGGGGATGGGGCAGGTGACACTGGAGAGTCTAGGGAGGGCAAATACAAATTTGATACCACCTAGAGGTGGCCAAGTGGAGAATAAGGGTTTCTAAAAATAGCTAAAAAACTAAAGAGACCAAATGCAACATGTGGCACTTGACAGGCTCCTGGATTTAAAAAAAAAAAAAGTTTATAAAGATATTGGGACTATTGAGAAAATTTGAATATAACCGCATATTACATATTATTGTATCAATGTTAAATTTCTTAAGTGTGATATTGGTGTTGTGGTTATGTAAATTGTTATTGTCAGGTACTGTCAAATCGGTTCCAACTCACAGTGACCCTATGTACAACAGAATGAAACATTGCCCGGTCCTGCACCATCCTCACAATTGTTGCAATGTTTGAGCCCATCATTGCAGCCACTGTGTCAATCCATCTCATTGAGGATCTGCCTCTCTTTCACTGACCCTCTACTTTACCAAGGATGATATCCTTCTCCAGGGACTGGTCCCTCCTGATAACATATCCAAAGTACGTGAGATGAAGTCTTGCCATCCTTGCTTCTAAGGAGCATTCTGGCTGTACTTCTTCCAAAACAGATTTGTTCATTCTTCTGGCATCCATGGTATAATCACTATTCTTCGCCAACACCATAATTCAAAGGCATTAATTTTTCGGTCTTCCTTATTCACTGTCCAGCTTTTGCATGCATACGAGGCAACTGAAATGCCATGGACTGGGTCAGGCATACCTTAGTCCTCAAAGTGACATCTTTGCTTTTTAACACTTTAAAGAGGTCTTTTGCAGCCAATTTGCCCAATGCAATATGTCATTTGATTTCTTGATTGCTGCTTCCATGGGCATTGATTGTGGATCCAAGTGAAATGAAATCCTTGACAACTTCAATCTTTTCTGTTTATCATGATGTTGCTTATTGATCCAATTGTGAGGATTTTTGTTTTATGTTGAGGTGTGGTCTTTGATCTTCGTCAGTAAGTGCTTCAAGTCCTCCTCACTTTCAGCAAGCAAGGTTGTGTCATCTGCATATCGCAGGTTGTTAATGTCTTACTCCAAACCTGAAGCTGCGTTCTTCTTCATATAGTCCAGCTTCTCAGATCATTTGCTCAGCATACAGATTGAGTAAGTATGGTGAAAAGATACAACTCTGCCGCACACCTTTCCTGACTTTAAATCATGCAGTATCCCCTTGTTCTGTTTCAACGACTGCCTCTTGGTCTAGGTACAGGTTCCTCATGAGCACAGGTGTTCTGGAATTCCCATTCTTTGCAATGTTATGTAAGAGTGTCCTTATTTTGGGAAAATACCTACTGAAGTGTTTAAAGTGTCATGATGTCTGCAACTTTTAAATGGTTTAACAACACACACACACACACACACACACACACACACGTTTATATAATATATATTTACAGATAGAGATGAAGCAAATTCTGTAAAATGTTAAAATTTTTAGGCAAAGGTTACACAGATGTTCATTGTTATTCTTTTTACCCTTCTGTAAGCTTGAAGTTTTTAAAAATAAAAAGTGTGTGAAAATGGCTCAAAAGTCAGAAGTGTGCTACGGTCTAAGTTCTCCATTCCTACAACCCCTTTCTTCTGTGTTTATTCAGCCCACAGGTTAAGAAGTTCTGGCTCCTACTGTAATTTAAGCTCATTTCCTCGTTTGTTCTGTCCTCTCTGGGGACACAGTCAGTATCCCCCTTGCAACTGTCAGGCTCAGTTGGCTTGATGATGGGTGAACCTCAGGGCTGTTCACAGAACTCATTCTCATATGTGTCCTGGGCCACTCCCTCAGTAGCAGCAGGAGCTGACGTAGGCTGAGCACATACTCAGGCACTTTATCTGCCCCAGCTCATCTGATCTCATAACCAAACCTGGTTTAGGGTCTCTTGTCATCTCCATTTTACAGATGAGAACACAAGGCTTGGAAACTTGCCTAAGATCACACTGCTTGCCAATGGGAGAGCCAGCATTTGAAGAACCCAGGACTGATTACTCCAAAACCCTCATTGAGTTTCTGCTGTCGAACAGATCTCAGCCTGGAGGTGCCTTGCAATTATATAGAGAGTATTTTCAAATCACACATGTGCTGGGCCCCCCTCCCAGAAATACTGTCTTCTGAGATGTGGAGTGGGCTAAGGCATTCATTGCATGGACAGGCTCGGCTGTTTGACTGTAGCCTCCATTACTGCTCTAAAACTTGAGTGAGTTCCACCTGTGACCTGTCTCCTCTGCCATGGCCACATGGAGAGGAAACCCCATTTAACCTTAGTGACTTGCTATACCACCATCTGTATTGGTTGGCCACGGCAGCCTGACATGATGTCAGCTGGGGCCACAGGTGTGGTTGAACTAGTCACGCACCACTCCCCACACCTGGCTTGCTGTGGGGGGAGTAAGTAGTGCGAACTTGACTGTTTGCACCTGGGGACTCCTGTGAGGGCAACGCAGGCAGCCTGACAAGAATACTCTAGGGAGGAGGAGGACAAAGACACATGGAGGAAGGGTAGGTTTCTGCTGTATTGGTAATGTTTGATTTCTTATTTCTTTGATGAATCTCATGGGGATTATGCTGAGTGAAGAACAGCCAATCCTCAAAGGTTACGTACTGTATGATTGTATTTCTATAACCTTCTTGGAATGACAAAATGATAAAAATGGGGGACAGATTAGTGGTTGCCAGGGATCAGGGATTGGTGCTGGGGGTCGGGGTGGGTGCTATAAAAGGGCAGCATGAGGAATCCTGGTGGTAATAGGAATGTTTTAGATCTTGACTACATCACTGTCCTGGCTGTGGTACTTTACTATAGTTTTGGAAGATGCTGCCATTGGGGGATACCAGGTAAAGGGTACACGGTATCTCTGTATTATTACTTACAAGTAAATGTGAATCCACAATTATCTCAAAGTAAAAAGTTTAATTTAAAAGGGAAACCTGTTGCCATTGAGTCAATTCTGACTCAGCGACCCTATAGGACAGAGCAGAAGTGCTCCATAGGGTTTCCAAGGCGGTAATCTTTATGGAAGCAGACTGCCACATCTTTCTTCCATGAAGCAGCTAGTGTGTTCAAACTGCTGACCTTTCAGTTAGCAGCCAACTGCTTAACCACTGTGCCACCAAGGCTCCTAAAAAAGCGAGGGGGGGAAGGGAACATATAAAGAGAACCCACCCAAAGGCACTTAGGAAGGCAGGCTTGGTGATCTGCTTCCGAACGGTCACAGACTTGAAAACCCTATGGAGCAGTTCTACTCTGCACACATGGGGCTGCCATGAGTTGGAATCGACTTGATGGCAACTAACAACAAAAACAGCATAAAGAAAATATGGTGAAATATTAACATCCACTGTATATGAGTTTGGGTTGCGTGGATATCTGTTACACTTTATTTTCTGAATGTTTGAAGTATCTAATAATAACAAATCCTCTGGATTTATCTTGGCAGCCTTATATGTAGGCATTCTTGCCCAAGACCTGTTTTCTGGTCTCCTCAGGGGGATATGATCGAAGCCCAGGTTCGCAGAGCTTTGCTAGGGATGGGAGGAGGCAATTAGCTGCAGTACTGCCCCAAGTGGAGAACCACACTCTGACTTCTACTGTCCTTGCTGAACCTGTCATGGCATCTTAAGTTCCCGGAGGGCTGAGACTTTATACTCCCTTTGTAGCTTCCTCAGTGCTCCACTGCATTTCCTTGGCATGTTAACAAAATGGGCAAAATTATACTTCCATACTTATTCCTGGTTAGTTAATTCTAGACTAACAGAAATACCATTAAAGAAGGCTATCTTCTCACTAGAATCCTTCCATTTTGTGTATTAGAAAAATATAGGGACATGCATGCCAGAATTTGTTTATTATATAGCTAAGGTACTTACAATTTTACAATACAATCAAAAGGGACTAAATGAGACACATACAGTAGTTTAAATGTAAAAATAGAAAATAATGTCCAAAAGATCAGTTAGATAGGAATATAATTTTAGTAATCATTAAAGAATAAAATGTTTCAACTCAGCATCACTAGGGCAGACTTGGCTGTACAGCAGGTCTACTCACATGGATTCTGAATGACAATCAGAAGATACTCCTTATCTATGGAGAGACATGGGAAAAATTAATTCACCTAAAAAGTAAATTTAATTCATGAATATTTCAAAACATTGCATGGACCTTGTGGAGACCAGTGGTTTTCAACCTTGGTTGCACGTGTAGCTGGGGTGAGAACACAGGTGTGGAACAAGCTTTATTTAGTTTATGGGTAATTCTGATTTTACGGATGTGCTATAGAGAAGTTTGCTGTAGGCTAGATTTAGGAGCACTGGGTAATGTTGTACACTGACATCTAGTAATTCCATAAATGTATTTTTTTGGGGAACAGAAATGTCTCTGTGCTCGCTGCCTTCTGGTAGACCAGGCAGATGTGCTTTCCCCACAGGGTGCATTTAGGACCCTACAGGCCTTTCACCTACATCTATCCTTGACTCTCTCCCCCATACTTCATCTCTAGACAGAAGATCTTTCTCCCCATCTCCACAGAGTCTGTGTGTTAAGGTGACTACAAATGAGAACTGCATCTCCTAAGTTTCCTGATTACTAATAATAAATGCATGTGGACAAAATCCAGCTTGTTCAAAGGTCAAATTCATTGCTAATTTCACAAAATTTTCAAGTTGGAATTTTCAGATTCAAACTTCTTCATTTTTTAAATTGAAAACTATTATGTTTCATGTTGTATATTACAATCTCCACTCCATAGTCTAAAACAAAGTTTTCATCCAGGAAAGTAGAAAGATGCTTTTTAGATATGAAACATCAAATTACCTGGAGCAACCATGATTTCATGTTTCTTTGATCTGATTCTAAGAAAAGTTAGGTCATTCTGAGGGTCAATATCACGAACAGTGCTCTTGGCCTTCATGGTCAGCTGATGAAGAAGACCGGCGTACTGAACTGTTGTCGAGTTGTCCAAGGTTGTTCGGATTGGAATGCCTGTTATGAGAGTTCACAATTTGG